TGTAACTTTCTGCATTTGCCTTTAAAATTTTTATTGTCATTTTGATTAAGTGAATAAGTGCTGTTTCACAATAGCCTATGATCCTTCCTGACCAAGTGTTTTAAAATCTCTTGAAGATTGTTTTGCATACTTACAAACTTTTTAAAGGTCAGATTTTAATTAAATTTCTTTTGATATTTAATTAACTTTGGAATGCTTTGGAGGGGTTCTCAAAAATGTAAAGATATATTAAATTAATTAGGGTTACATGGTATGTTAAATTGAATGGAAACACTGTTAAATGAGTGGTGCTAAACTTCATTAGGTTATATTATATGAGCAAATGTCATAATCTAAATGTTCTAAAGATTATATAATATTAAATTTCTAAAATTTGTGTATGTCCTAGCATATTAATCTTTCACAATTCTAGTTATTATCTTAAAGTATTATATGTCACAAAAATAACCAAATTTCTTTCTCACTTACATTGTAATCAGATCTTTCACCATGACCTGCTAAATCTTTGTCATTTATTGACAATTATTGTTGTCTCCCATGTTTTTGCAAAAATGTTTCATTTTCAAGAAGATTCATACAAAGGACTTCAAGACAATGACACATTTCTGATAAATTTCAGATCATAACACTGAATTGGGTAAGAAATTAAAGAATTCTAGTGGAAACTCTGATGACTTCATAAAAAAACTGTTGCCAAAATATTAAGATCAAGGATGAATTATATAGGATTTTGTGAACTAATGAAGAAGGTCATAAGTTCTATGTCTTTTGCCTAAAGTATTACTGACTTAATTTTTGCTTTCTGTATATTAGGAAATCTTTCCCCTTAAACTAATTATGACTTACAGAAATTTAGTAAATTGTACTTTTATAAGTAGAATTGAGATATTTACTTTTTCTATCTAATTCAGCCAGAATTTGGAAACTCTTACTGAGCATTTTTATTTTTAGTAATATAGTTAGTTTCATAAGTTCAATAAGGGTTGCTCCTTATAACAGACATAATTGGAAACATTGGTTATATTACCATGATGTTGATTGGAATATTATATTTGTGAATACCCATAAAATCAGATATGATCAAACTGCTTTAAAAAACTAAAGTAAATTTATGGAACTGTGAAAACTCTTGGAAAAACTACCTGGTATCTTGTTTACAGGGTTTCCCAGCAGCCTTACCAGTTCACCACAGTAATCTACCTTTAGATGAAGATTAGATGCCCCATGACCTGAAACCCGGAGATTATGCACATTGGAAAGATATCAGATAAAAGACTTTTTACAGCCGCATTGAATGGAATCATATCAGGACTCCTCTCCTGAATAGACTGCAATTCCTGGATGAGAAGAAGAGAACATCTGAAGTAGACAGCTGACCCAAAATGCTGGACCAGGTCTGTATATGATTACCTTGATGATTGTTCCCACTTTTGCTTATAAATAAATGTATTTCTATCTTGGGATCAGTCATATGCAAGTATCAAAAACCAGTTCAACTTTAGTTTAGTGGCCAATTTCTAGTATTCCTAGGTTACCTAGGTTGATTTGTCCTCATCATTGCTCTAGTTGGATGGCCCTTTAGGAAGTTTATTTTAACAGAAGGAAGTTATAGTTCTGTTCTGATCACTATTGATATTACTAGATAAAACCTTTTTGTGTTGTTGAGTAATCATACTTGCTCTGGCCATGGACATAAATGTGAACTTTCTTTAAAGTTACACAGACTCCATTAGAGCAAAGGGCTAAATTACAGTCAAAGAATATAACTTCCCTCTTATTAGAAGGGCCATTTCCTCAATTATGGGATGAATTTACATGGCTAACAACAAGCTATGTTCATTTAAGTTTAAAGGCCCTCATGTTGGGAATAGTTAAATCATTTTAAGGGTAAACAGCTTAATAACACTAGGAAATTGAGCTGAGTGCCTGATGAACAATGGATATATCATTACCTTTGAGAATCAGTAGTTGTTTTGGAACTGATTGAGATGACCAGGAAAATACTGGGTAGCTTTTAATAGGACCCATTGGATTTATGGAACAAACTTATGGTCTTGGCTCACCCCAGGTTGGTAGGAAGATGCACAATTGGTTTCCTTTGGGCTCAGGTTTGCTTGATTGGGCTTCCCTGGTGGCTCAGTTGGTAAAAATCTGCCTGCAATGCAGGAGACCCTGGTTTGAGTCCCTTCTTCACTGGAGAAGGGATAGGCTACCCACTCCAATATTCTTGGGCTTCCCTTGTGGCTCAGCTGGTAAAGAACCCACCTGCAATGCAGGAGGCCTGGGTTCAATCCCTGGGTTGGGACGATCCCCTGGAGAAGGGAAAGGGTACCCACTCCAGTATTCCAGCCTGGAGAATTCCAAGGACTAGTCCATGGGGTCACAAGGAGCCGGACATGACTGAGCGACTTTCACTCACTCACTCAAGTTTGCCTATGGGTAGCCTTGAAAGTGACCCTACCAATCTACTTTTAATGTAGCACACTGGGTCCAATCAGTTTTCTAGTGGTAAGGTCATTGGGCTGCAATGTTTGCTTCTTCACTTGGAATGAAGGATGTCATTAATCACTTAGAGGCTTTAATAAAATTTACTTAACAAGCTTTGAATGATAGTAATCAAGCCATTAACTTGGTAAATTTGAAGTCTTCATGATGAAAAAAGTGGTCCTACAGAATCACTTGTCCCTCAACTTCCCAAGGGTGGGACTTATGCTATAATGTGTACTGAATGTTGTGTCTTTAAATCTGATGAGTCTTCTAATATAACCCATCTTATGATACGTAAGAAGAGTCAGATTTCTACTCTGAATGATCCTTTTCTCAGTTTAGACAAAATATTAGGAAAATAGACTTGTTAAGGAGAATCTGGCTTAAATCTTTATTAATGACATTGTTACTCTTACTGGCAATTTGGATTACTTGTGTAAGATAATAATATCTAAAAAAGTTGAACTACTGGTCACATATGTAGTTGTTTATAAATTAATGTGCATGAACACAATGTACTATCAAGGTAAAATTGGCATAAGTCCTGCTGGACAACTTGGAATTGACTGTCAGTCCTTCCAGACATCCAATCAATACAGCCTATATAAGAGTAAAGAAATAACTAGACTAAAAGGCCTGGCATTGAGGGACATGATTGATTCAAGACAGGAGAGCAACCATGCTGGCATCAATGGATGAAATAATTGATCAACTAATTCTTTCTATCAAGGGATTAATAATCAAAACGGGGAATTAATGAAATAAAATTATTTTTATGATAGGAAAAGAAAAATTCTACCTAAAATTTTCTCTGCCATTTAAGTGACTACCATCATTTGATAAAAAGCATGGAAGCTGAAATTTAGAGAGATTAAAGTCTGTAAGAATATTGTAATAAGAAATTAAGACACAAAATTTATACTTTGGAACTCTCCAAATTCAAAATTAATGTGTTCCCCAACTCTTCTGCACTGATTTTTTGCTCTTTTCATATTGAATCCACTTTTTATCATGTCTTCTTTTTCACATATGTTTCTTCTCATGATCCCTGGCTAAAATCTAGCTTCCAAGCACCTTGAGATCAGGGATTACATCATACTCAATTCTGCCTTTCTTTCATTAAACCCAAGGTATGACCCACAATATGACCTTAATAAGTATCTGGAAAAAAAAAAAGAATGAGTGAATGAATTATAACATATACTAGAAATTTAACAAGTGCCTTTGCTTGCTTGAATGATAGTATCACAGTTATAATTTTAGGTGTATTTTAAACGGAGAGTCCCAAACTGATAAAATGAAAAAAATAGAATACTTAGATATATATAAAATGAAAAATATTTAAAAAAATCTTTGTTGATAATTAAAATTGGGAGATTTCACAAAACATCTGAATTTAGCTTGCTTAAAAAATACTGGTAAGTTTTTAATACTTGGCCCACATAACCCCATAGCAATAATGTGCTTGATTTGAGTAGAATCTGTCCTTTATGGAGAGGATGTGCTTGCTACACATCACCACAGCTTCTTGTTCTTACACACAATGCTTTCATTGACATTAAGCCTGTGTTTGTCATTTTCTTACCTGTCTCTTCCCACGTCATGAGTTTATTAACCCTTACAAAAAATATAAACCTATAAGAAATGAGTATGTTACTTCTTTATTCTGTATTTTCTTTTCTGGTAGAACTCTACACAGAAAAAAAATTTCATAATGTATACTTGAAAAGGTTTCAAAGAATCTGTCTACTGGAAGACTTAGTTTTTAATACTTTTTTTTTTTTTACAAACATTTCACAGCTTTTACAGATTTCTTGTTTCTTTTACAAATTTATTCACATCTTTTACAAATTTCTTCTTCATTCTATTTTACCACCCCCCCCCCCATCACCCATCCCAAGCAATGTATCTGTTTTAAGTTTCATGTGTCTTGGGTAAAAGCAACCTTCTCTCCAAGCAAAAATTTGATTACACCCTCACGAATCTGTTTGGTCTTGATACCATAAACAATTGGGTTCATTGTAGGAGGCAGTAGCAGATAAAGGTTGGCCACAATGATGTGTATGTGGTGAGGGATACTGTGTCCTCCAAAATGGTGGGTGAAAAAAAGTGAAAAAAGCTGGGACATAGGTGATCACAATAGCACAGATATGTGATGTACAGGTGCTGAAGGCTTTGTGACAAGCATCTGTGGATGACAGGCTCACCACAGCTCGCATGATCATAGTGTAGGACACTGCAATACAGTACATGTCAAACACACCGATGAGGAGAGCAACCATCAGACCATAAATAGCATTGACCTTGAAATTGCCACAGGACACCTTGGCTACAGACATGTGGTCACAGTACGTGTGGGGGATGAAACTGCCTCGGCAATAGGGCAGGCGCTTGGTAAGGAAAGTGAATGGAAAGATGAGCATCACACCCCTCAGGAAAGTGGCAAGACCAGCCTTGGCAATGACAGCACTGTTGAGGATGGTGGCATAGCGTAAGGGGTAGCAGATGGCCACTTAGCGGTCCAGTGCCATGAGCATGAGCACCCCAGACTCCATCCCAGTCAACATGTGGACAAAAAACATCTGGGCCAGGCAGCCATTGAAGTCAATCTCCTTAAGGTTGAACCAGAATATGCACAGCATGTTGGGTACCGTGGTGGTGCACAGGGTGACGTCCGAGAAGGAGAGTAGGGCCAGAAAGTAGTACATGGGGCGATGCAGGGCCTCCTCATGGCTGATAAGGTAGATGAGTCCACAGTTGCCCACAACAGCAATGACGTACATGAAGCAGAATGGCAGGGAGATCCAGATGTGTGCAGTTTCCAGCCCAGGAACACCATTCAAGATAAAGAATTTCGGGGTTAGACTGGAGCTGTTGGCTCCAAACATAATGGCTGACAGGAAGAAGGCATATTACATTCTTTAAAAGTGGTCCTTTCCTAGAGAAGAAAATAACTCAGAGGTGAGCAGAGGGCTTGAAAACAAAATGTAAAACAACAATAACCAAAATGACTTTTCAAATGACAAGTATTAGTTAAGTCTCTTGGAGTCACCTTATCTAAATTCGTATTCCATCTCTGGTTCTTACCTAGGATATGATATTGATGAGCTTATATTGATGAGTTTAGCCATTTTATGTCTGTTTTCTCAATATAAAATGAAAATAATAACTGTGCCAAGCTCAGAAAGTTATCAATATTGCTCAATAAGATAATCTAAATGTTGTGCTAAAACTGTGTATAACACATAGTGAATACTCAAAAAATATTAGCAGTAATATGCTGTTGTTATCACTATTATTATCATTTCTTGCATGCGTGCTAAGTTGCTTCAGTCATGTCTGACTCTGTGTAATCTATGGACTGCAGCTTACTAGGCTCCTTTATCCCTGGGATTCTCCAGGCAAGAGTACTAGAGTGGGCTGCCATGCCCTCCTCCAGTGGATCTTCCTGACTCAGGCATCAAACCTGCATCTCTTATGTCTCCTACACTGGCAGGCAGGTTCTTTACCACCAGTGCCCCCTCACCTTACCTCAGGTGAGGTAGGGTGAGGTAAGAGTGCCCCTTATCTCAGGATAAACATCCCATGTGATCGAACGTGCCCTGACTAATATAGTAAATTCAAATGGAGCTGCTCAGTTCTGCTGCAATTCAGGTGCCATTGTGCACTTTAGGACAGGAGGGGAATATGAGATTTTGAAAAACCTCAATTATATTGAGATGATTGAGAGGTGAATTTTAGATAGCAAGTGTTAGTTACTAGGAACTCCAAGATTAAAATATATTCTCATATCTTAGAAAAAAATTATAAATGTCTCAACTCTGAAATCTAGGGACATCTCATCCAGCTCAATCCCTGCAAGTTCTAGCTGATTCCAGGTAGCAGGTAAGCATGTAGCAATTGGAACTTCTACAAAGAGAATTGGCATATATGAGATTTCACCTCTGATGTCTGCCTCCTTCTAAGATAGCTCCAGGGCACTAAAGCCACAAGACTGAAAAGAAAAGACCAAGATATTAAGATATCAGAGGAGGAAAAACTTTTGGCTCTGCTCATCTAGCTTGTAAATTAAAACTGATTACGGCAAATTCTCAGGCTCCCAAACATCAGCACCATATAAGTAAACAATCTATCCACACTTATTAAATCATAAACAGATGAACAGATCAACTCAGTCCCAGTTCTTTTCCCCCTACCTTCAATAAGATTTCTCTTATATCCTCCCTGCCAGATGATTTTGCTATAATATGAGCTATTTTTAAAACTTAAAATATATTTGTAAAAGGAAAATTAGATGGATATTTGAAAATATGAGAACAAAGTTTTATTGTATGCTTATTTGTAGAGACATAGACACTCAGACTCCATGATGGACTTGAGCAAGTCTCATACCTTCCTTTTTAAAATTTTCGTGACTTTTAAAGAAGGCGGGAGGTGATAAAAGTACATAATTAGAGGTATTAGAATGGTTAAATGGAAGTTAGTCCTCCAAGTAGGGTCTAATAAGTCATTAATGTACATTACATATTATAACAATAAAAAAATTCTCTGGTTATATGCTAAAATGTATATATTTAACATAGATTTATTGATATCATTCTAGTTTCTAGAGATATATTCATGACTAAAATAGAAAAAACCCTCTCTGTTCATGGAGCTAATATTCCAATGGAGGTTACCTTCTACCTTCAAATTTGTATTAATAGCAAGGGTATATGTTACCACCCTTATTTTATATTTGAGGAAATGCAAGTTCAAGGTAATTTGATGAAAAGTGTGTCAACAAAAATTTAGAAATTGGTAAAGCCAGGTTTGTTTGACCTTGAAGCTGTGTGTTTAATCATTCTATATCTGTTGCCTAAACTGAAGAACTGCATTAACTGCACATAACTAGCTTATTTTACGATGACAGAGGAAGAAAGAAAAAGTGTGCTCTTATTACTGTCTTAGAGAAGAGATAGAATAAATGTGTAAAGTTATAGAAAGTCAGTCTTTATGTAAAGGACCTATCTGCAGCGAGAGAACTTATCTGTGAAACAGCCAGATTCCTATTCCTAGATTTTTTCACATAAACACTTTATAAAACCTGGTAGGGGAGTTGCATGAGATTTCTGCTTCCCTGGTTGCTCAGTGGTAAAGAATCCACCTGCCAATGCAGGAGACAAGGGTTCTATCCCTGGGTTGGGAAGATCTTCTGCAGACGGAAATGGCAATCCACTCCAGTATTCTTGCCTGGAGAATACCATGGACAGAGGAGCCTGGCAGACTACATCCATGGGATTTCAAAAAGAATCAGGCACCACGTAGCAACTGAACAACAGTGAGAAGATATCTACAGGGAAGCCAGTCAGGAATTCCTCTCACTACCTTGTAAGATTCAAGTCTGCTCATCAATTACTTTCCACAAAATCTATTCTCTTGGAAGCAATTTTGAGTATAGATATCTATTAATTAAGGCAAAAACCTTTGTTTTCCGTCCTTTCAAGTCCACTGTTGTCTGGAGTTCTCCATCATCAGTGAACCACGAGGTGGTTTTAAATATATTTCACAAATAGGGGAATGCTGTTTCTTTCCTTAGTCTCCAGAGAAATAGTCATCTATTCTGCTTAGAGTAAAAAAGAAATACTGAGTTTCCAATCAACAACATCTCAAAGAAATTGCATTTCTTGTATGAAAAACTTTATATTTGGGAAAAGTATAAGTCTTTGGGAATCTCTGAAACTCACCTTAGTGTGGGCAAAGACCAGATTCATGGGCATGACTGAGACTTCTGAGTGTCAAAGAGTTCAACAACCAGTTTCCACCTCTACATAGAATTTCTGTGTCCTTTGAGGATTCCACATACTTGGGTGTTTACAGCTGATTGGATTTCCACATTGATCTATCAGGGGCTCTGCTTAGAAAAAAATTCCTTTGGGACTTTTGAAATTATTTCTATATTTATCAACTTTTATATTCATAATATCAGCAGGAGAGATGTTGATAAGAGTATTAAAGTTAAATGCCTTCCCCCGGGTGTGGTTTCTGACCAATAATTCTGATAATTATAAGAATTATTTGCTTTTCAGTTATCTTGCTTTATAAAATAATGATCTAACTGTGTAATCACAAAGTTTCAAAAATATACTGAAACATATTCAATGCATATAACCTCTATTGCATATATGTTCATAATATATTTCATGGAAATATATATAATATTTATTTTATATTTTATATTTAGAGAGAGAGAGGAAGAAATTGAAAGTGACAGATACAGAAAATAAAATATATTATATAAGAATAATAGATATATTTTGTGCCTACTTTGTGGTTTGCCCTGAGTTTATTAGATAAGCTAATAAATACACAAACCCACACATGTGACCATATTATATATATATGTGTATATATTGTGTCAAAACAGTTTTGCATTTATTTTACATTTTATTACCTGAGTTTCCCCTGTACTATTTTATTATGAAGAAGACTAATTCTGGAATGATTGGAAAGCAAATAGAAATGATTTTTGTCATTCTCAATGGTGAATGTGTAAAGATTCCTGTTAAACTCAGAACAAATATTGAAATTCTCTCAATTAACCATTGAAAGTGTATCACAAAACTCCCCTGATACTGTAACTCTGTCACAATATTGGCAAAAGTTTAAAATTGTATGGCTATCTTGCAGAAAAACTGAAATACTTATATACTGAGAACTATAAAATACTGATACAGAAAATTGTAGATGAGTCAGAGAAATGGAAAGATATGCTTTGCCCTTGAGTTGGAAAAATCAATATTGTTAAATGACAAAACTATCCAAGGCAACCTACAAATTCAATACAATCCCTCTCAAATTATCAATGGTGTTTTTTCAGAGAACTAGAACAAATCATTTTAAAATCTGTGTGGGAACACAAAAGACTTTGAATAGCCACCGCAATCTTGAGAAAGAACAGATCTGGAGACTGCATACACTGAAACTTCAGGCTATACTACAAAACTATTGTCATCAAAACAGAATAGAGAGCCTGGAAATAAACCCATGCAATTATGGTCAATTAATCCACAACAGAGGAGGCAAAAACTTGCAGTGGAGAAAGACAGTATCTTAATAAACGAACAGTTTATATGTCAGTTCAGTTCAGTTCAGTCGCTCAGTCGTGTCCAACTCTTTGCAACCCCATGAACTGCCTCATGCCAGACCTCCCTGTCCATCACCAACTCGCCGAGTTTACCCAAACTCATGTCCATTGAGTCGGTGATGCCATCTAACCTCTCATCCTCTGTTGTCCCCTTCTTCTCCTGCCTTCAATCTTTCCCAGCATCAGAGTCTTTTCAAATGAGTCAGCTCTTTGCATCAGGTGGCCAAAATATTGGAGTTTCAGCTTCCACATCAGTCCTTCCAATGAACACCCAGGACTGATTTCCTTTAGGATGGACTGGTTGCATCTCTTTGCAGTCCAAGGGACTCTCAAGAGTCTTCTCCAACACCACTGTTCAAAAGCATCAATTCTTCTGCGCTCAGCTTTCTTTATAGTTTACATGTAAGAGAATAAAATAACTGGACAGTTACATGTAAGAGAATAAAAGAACATTCTCTAACACCATATACAACAGTAAACTCAATAACACCTCTGTTTTTTTTGCCCCAGTTCAGCAAGTTCTATCAGAGGCACGGAAGTTAGCATCAAAATATCAACAATTTTATGGCATACATCAGGGAAAATAAAGCTTTAGATCTTCAGTCAAAAGGGCTTGTTTATATTTTGCCCCTGATTTAGGTGAGTTTGCTCACTCAGGCAGCATAGACAAATGAAAATCTCAGTGGGAGCAGCTGGCCACTAACCATACCAACGTGGACAGATCAGAATGTATGGTCGAATCAGAGAGAGGTTGACTAGTAA